GTCTAAAACGCATTTCAGAATTTCGGCCGAGATTTTATTAGACCGGTCACGCACTGTTTGTCTTTTACTCCTAACGAAGTCATTGGGTAGAGTGGTAAAGCTCGGTTGTGAAAGCCCCAACACAAGCAAAAAACTACTTCCAGGAAGCCAATGAAAAGAATATTCAATTGACTCAGCCCCGACTTTTCCGGCACAGGCCCGACTCCATCAGTAACGCCGAAGCTAGTTGACTCAACTCCAGTGATAATTTATAGGCCGCCGTTACTGGGCGACCGCCAATCACAAACGTCAACTTCAGCATTAATTTCCGATGGTCTTACTAAATGCATTGATGACCTGGGAATCAAAATCGGAGTCGCTAATGGACGTAATTTTACCGATAGAGCTGATATTTGACATTCACAATGTTTATCAATTTTGGTTGCCCGAAATATTAACGGAAGAACTAAAATAAAACTTGTGTCGTCATGTCAGAATGTCAGACTTCGAATGAAGTTTTCATCGAGCGTCTTCATAAAATATATGCTGTAAAGAATGACTGTATAAGTGGCAGGAATTATATCCAATCAATTTTGATATCCTTATAAGTTAAAGTATATTTTGCAGAAAATAAACGCAGCATATTTTTTATTTAACGCTTTTGATAGTTAATTATCTCTTCTTTAAATGTGACACCTGAGAAGTGCGCATCTCCTGGTTTTCAAATTTTTTCAGTTCTCAAACAGTCTCGAACTCGAACTGCAGTTACATTTCCACTGAGGTTTTATAAAATACAGGATAAATAGTTTTCGTGAGAGGAACATCATGTATTTCTGTATTTTCTTATAGTAAAAACACACAGGAATCATAAACTAATTTAGTCGATGCGGACTTGTTAGTCCATCATATAAGCAGCTCTTTTCAATATGCTGTATGAATTGACATTTTACGTTTTAAAAAATACCTTACATAGAAAAAAAATTAACATTGATGTGTTCTTTTTCTTTAAGGACGCAGTTTGTTACCAAACGAGGGAGAGAATAACTCTTGTGTATGTCTCTTATAAAATGTACTTAAATGTATAAAGAGATCAAAAACAGAGGTAAAAATCTCAGAGTAATTAAGTAGTCATTTTTAAAGAATATAGTTTAAATTGAAAAGTCAAGTTGGCGAACATGTTTTTTCGGTAATTCTTCCTCAGGCCAATACAATTACATGAAGGAATGAAGATGTACAAAATCAGCAGTGCTTATAGATGCCTCAAGGGCTATTAAGTCACTAAAACTCATCATCCCCACGCCGCCCGCATGAGAAGGTCGGCGGGTATTAGTCGTCGGAGCTAGGGGAGGAGGGTAAGAGAGTCTTTGAGTGATGTTCTTGGGTTGAGTACACGGAGTACCCATAATCGTGATTAGGGATTCGAGGCGACATGGCTTCATCACTTGGGGCAAAGTCGAGAAAACAAGCTCGCAAGAGACCATTAATGGCCTCGTCTTCTACGGTCGGTACGTGGACGATATCATCTGCCTGGCGGATGGTGCCACCGATACCGAGGAGCTTGTCCAAAAGTTCAACAGTGCGCACCCCTCGCTACAGTTCACTGCAGAGACCGAGGCAGATAACGAACTTGCCTTTCTCGACGTCCTTCTGCACAGGCAAGAGGAGGGGTCTATCCAGCGCAGGGTGTTCCGAAAGAAAACCTGGAGAGCATTCCCTGCGGCGAATTTACGCGTATGCTTCACAAACTCTCCCCTCCTACGTTTGGGAGGTAAAGACAGACTACCGTTCGAGGCCACATCAATGCGCATTTATTCATTCACTTGCTCCCGTGGAGCAGGATACATCGATCGCACAACGAGACGCCTGGTAAAGAGGGTGCGTGAACATATGCCCGTCTGGCTAGACAGAGGTGAGACCCGGTCGATTTCGAGTTCTATTCTCGCGCATTTAATCGATGCGAACCCCCGAGTCGATGCCAAGAAAGCATTTCAGGTTGTATACCGGACACCAACATGCTTCTCTGAAGGCCTACGCCAACGGATACTAGCGACGGCCGAGGCAGTAGCTATACGGTTAGCGAATCCGGTGTTATGCTGCCAGAAAACTCTGACACAAGCGCTTTCGCTTTCGCTGCCATGGCCAACGGCAACCGCAAGTGATGAAGCCATGCCGACTCAAATCCCTAATCACGATTATGGGTACTCCGTGTACTCAACCCAAGAACATCATTCAAAGACTCTCTTACCCTCCTCCCCTAGCTCCGACGACTAATACCCGCCGACCTTCTCATGCGACGGCGTGGGGATGATGAGTGTTAGTGACTTAATAGCCCTTGAGGCATCTATAAGCACTGCTGATTTTGTACATCTTCATTCCTTCATGTAATTGTATTGGCCTGAGGAAGAATTACCGAAAACGCATGTTCGCCAACTTGACTTTTCAATTGTAACATGGGAATATTTGCGGAACTTAGAATATAGTTCACACAGGCGGTCGACAAGAAGCCCATTCTAAGGCCAGCATCTTGACATGACTGAGAGTTCTCGGTATTACGCGGCATAATAGTTGATACGACAATCCTATTTAAGCAATCTTTATACACAGAATATACTTTCAAGAATTTCGGTTGACATTTTAGGAGGTAGCACATTCACTGCTTCTGATTAAGTGCATGTCCCCTGTATCTAACCACGTGTAGGGCAGCCGTATCTCATCCGCATTCGTCTCCAGGACCGATAGTGAAACATACAAATAACAACTCCCAAAACGTGAAAGTCGTCTTCCGTTAGAGAAAAGAGCAGTCGGTCCGAAATTTGGAAATATGCTATTCGTTTCAGTCGGAAGACGCGCGTATTTTTCACCCATTTCATATTAGAGGATTACTGTCGGTTGAAAATTTAGGGATTATAGCAATTTACCCATCTCAGTTTGAATTGTATATGTGCACTCGTTTGAAAGCATATTAAATCTTTCTGCAAACTCTATTAACCACTTATTGGGTCAAAATATATTAGTATTTTTTGTTAATAATTCAACTGTTATTAAGTCCTCTTACTCATTATGTTCGTGAAATATGAGTAGAAAGCGCAGAGGGAACAATCGGGAGATGAGACCCAAAAATTCCGCCTAAACAAAGCAGTCTGTCTTACGGGACAGGTGGTAATAGGGGTTTTATGGGTGGTGGCCGGTCGGGATTTACGATACTAGCCGACGAAAAGCCTTATTGGAACAGATGAATGATCGAAGTTGGCCCGCTCGCCGTCCGTTATTAAAAATCGGGTCGCCAAAGACAGCAAAGCGGTAACCGAAGAGTGGAAGGCGTATAACCGTCTTCCCTCAGAAGGTAATCTACATTTCTCTGTTAACCACTGTAAGAACTTCAAGGACCCTACCACCGGACGGCACACCAATGTCATTGAGGCATACTGGAGCAGACTGAAAAGGAAACTCCACGAGGGAGGCCCTGTATGTGGTCGATCTGTGTGGGCTCAAGTAGACAAAGTACAGTATCGTCTTTTGTTTGGCCGCAATTCCATGTCTTTGACAGATGCCTGAGAACTGTTCCTGTCCCATGTTTTGCTGACGTATCCTATTCGAAAGTGATTTTGTTTTGTAATAAAATGTCATAATGCGAATGTATGCGGTAGATTCAGGTGTACGTTTGTAACGATGGGGAAGGTCCGGTGACAGCGACCATCGTCCATGTAACCTCCTGCGATGTCCGTTCGGCCAATCCATGTTAGGCCGTCGGGGAAAGTCCAAGTAGTGCGTGAAAGTAGGCCTGCAACCACTGATATAGCCTGAAGGCGTTTGAGTTCACCATTAGATGTATTATTTCCATGTAACAGATTTTTTTAGGTGCCATCTCCCGATTGTTACAGCGCAGAGTCCTATAGCTTAATGAGACGTCTTATCTTAATTCAAAATGTGTCAACTAGTTCAGTCCGTTGTGCGATTTTGCAAATACGCATAAAAAATTGTCATTAGAAGCACATGTATAACTGAAGCACCGAAGACTGCGTATGCGAATTACAAATATCTACAGTGAGTGACCGATCTCATGAAAAGTTGGCTGAAATTCTGAAATGCGTCTTCGATTAAGAAGCATTACTTGGTCGTGGTTGTGGCATACTCTTATAACATTTCGGACTTGGCAAGATGTCGGCTTTTAAATGCACTTTTTTTTCAATCTCCTGTAAAAAGGGTGTTTGCTACAAAATGACTACTTAAATAGCATGCATTTTTCCTATTGATTCTGGATGGTCTTGGAAATTCAAATATAATTTATAGAAACCATGAACAAAAATATGCCTTCTTTAGTCAATCAATAGAAAATAACGTCTTCTTTATATTTTATACTTAAGGAAGGAGTATAATTAGGTTTTAAAAAGTTTTCTAATTGCCGAATACTTTGGAGCCTGATCATTCGTTGTATTAGCGCTTAGTGATTTACTCTACAGGGTGCATGCGTTCCGCGTATAGAAAATCACATATTTTTCTATGCCATTAAAGAGATATCATTCAGGGTCCATAAAATTTGGCAATGGATGTGGACCATGTTGTACATTTCATGAGGAGCAGTGGTAAACGGCCAGGTACAATGCTATGTGAATGGACATATCGCGGTCTTAAAAAGTCTCATGATTAGAAACTTTTTTAAAACCTAATTATACTCCTTCCTTAAGTATAAAATAGAAAGAAGACGTGAATCTCTAGTGATTGTCTAAAATAAAGCATATTTTTGTTTATGGTTTCTATAAATTATATTTGAATTTCCAAGACCATCCAGAATCAATGGGAAAAATGCATGCCATTTAAGTAGTCATTTTGTAGCAAACACCCTTTTTACAGGAGATTAAAAAGAAGTGCATTTAAAAGCCGACACCGTGCCGAGTCCGAACTGTTATAAGAGTATGCCACAAGATAAGCAATATTATAACCGCGACCAAGTAATGCTTCCTAATCGAAAACGCATTTCAGAATTTCAGCCAACATTTCATGAGATATGTCACTCACTGTAGATGCTTGTTAATGCGCTCGAGGCGGAACATCGTACGCTGTTTATCAAACTCGACGCTAGTGTTATCATGCCGGTGGATCTTCTGAGACCTTCAGCTGACAAGGCCACCGGAAACAGAAAAAATGAACCCCTTGATCGTCAGCACTGCGTAGTCGTCCAGGGTCTATCGGAGTCGGATGCTTCTACCCCGAAGGAGAGGATCTCCGCTGACCTTAATATGCTTCAACACCTACTGAACGAAATGCTTAATTCAAATGAAAAGATAACCATTCGCGCAGCCTTCAGGATCGGAAAGAAGGTGAGCGAACAATCGGAAACTGTGCGGCCACGACCTCTGAAAATTGTTTTGAACAGTAAAGAGGAAGCTAGCTTACTTCTGTCCAGGAAAAGCAGCCTCCGAAACTCGCACAAGGAAGTTTTTTTCAGCCGGACTATTCTCCAGCAGAACGTCTGAAACGCCGCGAATTGGTTACGGAGCTGAAGAGGAGACTTGCAGCGGGAGAGAGCAACTTGGCCATTTTCAGGGGACGAGTAATACAGAGGAACGCGATGTTGTTTTGGAACCAGCCAGTCATCATGATGGCGGCAGCAACATAATATTGGCAAACCCGAGACAAACCGAACGAAGCACTGTCGAATGTTGCAAACTAAAATTCTTTTACACCAATGCTCAGAGTCTGTTTTCCAAGCTTGACGAACTGAGAATACAGGTAGACGATACTCTTCCCGATGTTATTGCAATAACAGAAACGTGGCTGTCAGAGGACGTTGGCGATTGCGAGTTAGCATTAACAGGATACCATTTGTTTAGGAGAGACAGGAGAGGCCGCCGGGGTGGAGGAGTAGCCATGTATGTCAAGAGCAACTTCGCAGTGTGTGAGAGGGCCGACAAGATTTCTAACGACACAGAGGCAATTTGGCTGACTATAAAGGCGCGGGGATCTCAGTCCCTCGAAGTCTTAACTGTCTACCGGCCCCCGCAGGCGGATCCCGACCCAGATACTTGTCTACTGAAAAGCATAAAAGAGATCGCCAGCCGACCAGACGTTGTTATCATGGGGGATTTTAATGCACCATGCATTCAATGGAGCGATATGCATGCGAAATGCTCGATGAATACCTTCGATTACCATCTACTAAAGACAACTCTTGAAGCTCTACTCACGCAACATGTCCTGTTTCCAACTAGAGCTCGTGGAGGGCAACAGGCCAGTTGTCTGGACCTCGTTTTTACCAAAGATCCTGACAGTATAGACGAGGTGTACTACCTACCCCCGCTCGGTCGAAGTGATCATGCAGTGCTTTTATGCGAGTACTTGCTGTATTCTGAACCGTGTACAAAAGACAATACGAGGCCAAATATATGGGAAGGGGACTTTCGCCAAATGAGAGCTGAGGCATCACAAATAGACTGGGATGTTCTCTTCTCCGAAACGTTAACGAGGACTGGAATTTATTCAAGGATCGTCTACTGCATCTAATGAAGAACCACTGTCCCTTATCAAAGCCTAGGACATCCAACCGCCCTCAGTGGCTTACACGAGAACTCAAAAGGGAGATCAACAAGAAAGGTAG